CGCTGGCGAGGCACCGGCACACCCTGTGCTGAGGTGTCAGTGGTTCCTCCCAGGCCACCCCAGCCCTGTGACAGGCAGGACATTCATCAGGTTCTACGCCCAAACATGAGGGCTACAAAACGTGAATGGAAAATGCTTAGTATGTAAAAACTGCATATGGATTTCAAAATGTTTTACATCAAAATAATTCATTTAAATTCCAGTTTGCCACAGATTTTCGAAAACCCACTTGTGTTCTCTGGGGTACGTGCCTCTCCCTCTCTGCACATTTACTTTGTTTACTATTTACTACATTTATTTTTTCAAAGCAATTTGAAACTTATCAGGGTATTTTTCACCTAAATAGCTATTCTTGAATTGTAATCATTTTTTAATGAAGGAAAGTAAAAAAAAAAAAAAAAAGAAAGAAATAGCCCCAAGAAGCAGGTATAATCGGTTTTAGTGGTTACATGATACATGATTTTATACTTTTATAAGTTAACATCAAATGTTAGTGTGTTCCCATAGTCACTGTACCAAATAAATACTAAATGATTACAGCATGTGTCAACATTTTGACAAAATTATTGATCAAAAACCAAGGCACGTAAAGATGATCAAATATAAACTATAAATTCTATGTAATTTTTTTACTTTCAGAATGTATGCCTATCAAGAACAATTCATTTCGAGAAAGTACATGTAAAAGTCACTGAAAAACAGACTAAGATTCTTGTCAAATTCTATTCTTGTTACCTTGATATACATGTGGTCACTCCAATAGATAACAAAGTTATTAAGTGGAGATTTTTTGGAAGATTAATTTTCATAAACAAAATACTGAATGTCAGGATTCCCTTCTTTCTTAGGACTAAATAATATTTGTGTGTGTGTGTGTGTGTGTGTGTGTGTTAGGGGCCATCAAAAATTCTTAGAAAATGCATAGTACGAAAAAAATCATAAACAGACCTCAAAGTTCTTTGCACCCAAATAAACTCATTGCTTCATTACATTTTCCATGAACTTTTTGAAGTCCCCTCCTATATTAATTTCAACTTCTTTACTATTGTAATGAAAAAATAGTACAAAGCACTATTTTCTTAGAAAACGCTGTTTTACTTTGCATGAGCTGAGTATTAAACTCAGTGCCCACATTCACTATTAGTAATACTGTGAGTGGATATAAGTTTTACTTTTTTCTTCTTTTTTTAAGGAATAGTTTAATACAATGCATTGCAGTCATTGAACAATTCTGTAAAAGAAGTTCAGAGTCAAATGTCCTGAAAATGAGCAGGAAATGACGAGAGAAGCTATGGTAGCCAGTGTTTATTAATTCGGTAATAGTCTATGGGAAGAAAATCGTCTTTAAATGGATGTTTAATTCTTGCTTTTATTTCATTCCCATAGAGTATATTATTGCTCCAAAATATATTTGTTCCAAATGTGTACATCTAACTTGGAAAAAGGTAGATAGACAGAAATATATTCTAAGTATACCATCCGAAAGAGAGATGTAAAGATCAAAAAGGACCCTAATTTGGGACCAGCAGTTAGCGTAATGGCTATGTCACTGGACTTCCACGTAGTCAACTGCGGTTCGAGTCCCGGACCCGGTGGCTTAAACTCACACCGGGCGCGTGTGCGTGCGTGCCCAAGATCCCAAGAGGAGAATGGAGGAGAAGGGATTGCAGCGTGGCCATCCCCCCTGGGGGGTGATTTTTCGCTTTCTGTCTCTCTGTCTGTCTGGAGAGCGCATGCGCCCTATAGCAAAAACCTCTCCAAAAAAAAAAAAAAAGACCATAATTTGAATGATAACGATTTTAGCTGACAATGAACACCACACTACCCATAAAGACTACCAACTTTACGTGGCCTTGTTTCTCTCATTTTGAAAACCTTTAGTGGCAGAGGCTAAGGCCAAGTCCTCCCAGGTTAGGTTGCTTTCACAGGGTCAGACGGTCTTTCATTTTGGAGACTCCTGTCCTGATACTCTGTTTGCGAGTTCCTAGCCGCCTCTGCACTGTGCTTTACTATCCGGTCTGGAACAGAATGAGGTATTTAGAGTTATCAATAGAAAAAAGGGGACAAATATTTTGAACTCTTTCTATGTGCCTGATGATGTTAAGTATTAAGAATTTGGGAAATTATTTCAATATTTGTCCTTACACTCATTTTTAGTAAAGCTTTTATGAAACAATAAGTTCTGAGATTTATTCAGAGGGAGGCAAATAAAGGATGAAAAGTAAATGAGTAATTAAATATTTGGGAAGTAATTTTTCTACCCGATGAAAACATGAAGTTTTATTTGTTTGGTAAAGAGAATGTTAAGGAGAAACTTACTAATAACAGTATCTAGATTTCTAAGAAGGCTCTAAGAATGTCCAGCAGTTGGTGTAATGGCTGTGTCACTGGTCTCCAATGTAGTTGGGCCCCGTTCAAGTCCTGGACCTGGTGGCCTAAACTCACGTCAGGCGCATGTGCGTGCGTGCCCAAGATCCCAAGAGGACAATAGAGGAAAAGGGATTGTGTTGTGGCGTGGCCATCCCCCCTGGGGGGTGATTTCTCGCTTTCTGTCTCTCTCTGTCTTTCTGGAGAGCACATGTACCCTATAGCAAAAAACTCTCCAAATAATAATAATAATAATAATAAATGCATGTATAAACAGAAACAAATCTAGATTATATGGGTGAGAGGAAGCCCTAATATTCCTGAGGAGAATCTAGCTGAGAAGCTTTAGCTGGTAATGTCGGGCAACTTCTATATACACAAACTAGAGGCAGGGAAAAATAAAGATAATGGTGGAGATATACAAGCTATTTTAAGGAAAAACACTTTCATTAATTCTCATTCCATTTTGTTCCAATGTTTTCTTTAGGGAAATACATATATTAATCTATGTGTGTATAAATTTAATCCTATTTTCCAATCTGTGAGTCATGTGGAATTGTCTCTATTTTTAACGAGGTATCTGAAATTCAGAGTTTAAGAAGTTTTCCAAATTTCACACAGTAATTAAGTAAATGTCAAGGGATATAGTTTATAGAGGGAAAAGTAAAGCATGAAACCAAGTGAGAAGATCTGAGTTCTGTGTGAACTTGGACACTTTCCATCATTTGAATGATAGAAAAATTGCTTCCTATTACTTTATCTGCAAAATAAAAATAAGAATACGCGATAAAACTTGTTATAAAGATTTTGTTATAAATGGGCATAGTGCCAGGGGATGTACTTTGAATATAAATATCTAACTCCTGAGAGAATAGGCTTGCTTTTTGGCATAGGGTTGAATGTAACCTGAGAGAATAGGCTTGCTTTTTGGCATAGGTTTGAATCTTACATTTACAGAATGTAAATGCTTACTTGCGAATCAGTAAGGTTTAGATTGAACGTTTAAAAAACAGATTCTGCTCAGATATTTGCATACCTCCCACCGTCACACTCGGGGCAGTGAAAGTCACTGTTGTCACTTTGCAGGTGTCTAAAACAGCTCAAGCCTTCCGTTAATTTTGAGAAACGGTAGTTTTCCAATAAGAAAGAAGTAGCTAAAACAGCAGATTCCTTCAAGCTAGCACATGCCCAATGTTTTCAGGGAGTACTAAAACGGTATTCATTATGGTAAGCAGAGATTTGTCAACCTTCATAAAACTTCAAATGCAAACTACTTATGGAGTCGGAGAAAGGCAGACTGGCTCTGAGGGCAGACAGGGTTAGTCATCCTTGTGCCCTTTACCTGCCACTCGCTTCTCATGTCAGAAGTGGAGCTTCTCTCGCGTCTTCCATTATTGAAATCCTGTAGAAAAATGTGCAAGCCCTGCGCAGACCCCATAATTAGGTTAATCTGATCACCGATCGCTGAATAGGATGCTTAAGGTATAAATAGCAAAAAATTCTGTTGATTATGAATAAGTAGAAGGGAGACCTTCCTGAGTAATTTCAACTGAGCGCGGTAATTAAACTCAGAGAAGCTGCTTCCTGCTTCTCTGAAAGCAGCGAAGCTGCCCCTACTGGCCTGTCCACAATCTGCACATCCCAGGGCCACATCCCTTTCTTTCCTTTCACGTCCCCTCAGGAGAATTCTGGGTCATAAAGGAATGAAAATCGGTGTAACTTCTTTCCTGAACCGACCCAAGCTTCCTCTGCGTTTATATTTGTGACATCTTCTTATGAGACAAGCTAACATCTATTATTAATTGGCGCACTAATTAAAGCCATACTTGCAGTTTCCATTAGCTTATTCCCTAAATTCTCCAGAGTTGGCTGTCTGGTTTTAATCAAAACCAAATGGTAGTCGTCCCAGTTCCAGCCTGGAGCTGCTAGGAGGAAGTCATTCAGTGGAGGCACAAAAAAGCAGGAAAGATAAACAGATGATAGTTGACAAAGTTTGTGTCAGACGAGGGATGCAGATCCTGTGAGCTGCGCTGGAGACGTGACTCAGGGACCCTGTCATGCGAGCTGGAGCCCTGGCAGTGTTTAATGTCAGCGAGATTCTAATGTGATCAAGATGGAGGCGTCCTCAGCTCTGCCAGCCCCGCATTTGTGTAGCTCTGGAGGATTCTGACTGGAGGTAATATTGCATACACACAACACAAACTGCTTTAATTCTGAGAAGCATTCTTGGGTTCCGAGGGATCTGGACGGAAATGTTCTATTTACTGGAGTTTGGGGACATGGCGTACAGATTTTCTCAGGTACAGAATGTAGAGCTGCAACATTTTTCATGTTAAGTCATGGAAAAAAATGGTCTTTAAATGTAGAAGAATCATAGTATTAGAGCTCCAAATTCGTCTTGCTTCCTTAAAAGAGCCTTTGAAATGAGAACTAGCAAAGGTATCCTGATTAAGCTGTGCAGATCCACTGAACAGAGAGGGACGGTTGCAGAAGAAGAGAGAACTATGTTTTCTTTTTCCTTTTCCTTTTTCCATAGCCGTGTGGGATAGAAAAAGCTCCCAGATTTTATGACTCTCTAGCTAATCACGTCGAGAGCTTTGACAAAACTCACTTCAGTGCTGTGTAAAGTCAGAACTCCCTCCCCCGCTCCCTTCGTGCAGCCTTTCTCACATGCACGCTCCTCAGAGGCAGGAAATACTTTCCAGGCAATCTGGGCCTGCTGGTGGAGGCCCCTTTCGCAAAACATCAGTCTGAATTTAGTAGACAGAAGTCACTAGGAACGCCTTGACAGGATCCTGCTTTAGCCAAGGCTCCCTCCAGCTGCGGAGGCTGTTTTTGTTAGAATCACACACTGCTCAGACTGCTGAGAACAGAGCCCGAGCTCCGCCAGGACCTCAATGGGAACTTGTATTTCGGAGACACTCCCGGGGATGGAGTCCTCTTCCAGCCTGAGCGCAGAGCGGTGCCATGCCTCGGTGCTTCAGTTCCTCCTGTCCAGGTGAGATGCTCTGGGCTGTCTGGACTCTTTGAGGTGGTCTGGGAAGAGGCAAGAAGAGTGAGGTCGAGGTTAGCATCCAGGCTTCAGAGTTAAGCCATCAAGTCGGAAGTGGGGAAGGGTGAGGCACATTTCTTACAAACGTGTCAGTTTCAAACTAGGCTCCATAAAGACCTTACCCCTTTCCTCCATGCAGTGAGATCTTCTTGTGACCTCTTTTCATTCTTAAGTGATTTACTGCCCGGTCTGTAAGACCGGCTTCCCACTCCAGGGCACACTATGAGACAGGCTGTCACACACCAGGGTGAGGCACACATGGCTTTCCGTCTCCCCTTCTTCCAGCGGGGACAGTAGGGTAGCCCGAGAGTGGCTTTTCTTAATCATGTGTCTTAAAGGATGTTTTGTGTTGCCCTGAAATCTATAAAGACGGGAGTCCTCAAAGCAGCTCCACCATATGTGAAGCTGTGAAGATACAGTTTCAAAGCTTCGTGAATAAAAAGGAAATGAATCATTGGAAATTATTTCGGTTCTAGCTACTATTTAATCTCAGCTTCAGAGAGTTAAATATCAGAATTTTATCTAATGTATGTTCACTTTCCTGGATTTACTGCTCAGTCATAGTTGGTGTGAACGTTTGCAATCTGAATGACAGTGACACTTATTACTATTTTAAGACAGCCAGGAGTCTCTGCAATGAGGTGAAATCCGATGATATGTCCATAGTTTCTGCAATCATAGGATTACATTCCCACTGGGCTACAGTCTCTTCAAAGTACCTTAAATGTGAAGACTGGTCTACAGGGAGGGAAATTTAGAAATGACTGAAATGACATATGGGCTTACAAAATATAACACACTGTTACACTTCTGAATATTCCAAATGAAAATTTTCTATTTATTGACATTCTTTTATTTTATGCAAATACATATTTTATAGAAATAATATAGAATGGTGTGTAAAGGGGACTAACATGTAGGAACATTTCCAGATCTACTAGGTAAACACAAACCACACGGAGGGAACGATGAAGAGCTATTTTTGACAGATGGAACGTTAGAAGTCAAGGTAGTGTTTTATTGATAAGGTTTTTCCATAATACAAGATGCCTATTTGCTGTTCGAGCTGAGGTATTTTTAAATTCTATGCTACAGTAGTTTATGTTCGTAGAATTAAACCATTCACTAACAATTTAAGTTGGGCTACGAGTTTTAAAATAAGAGAAAAGGAATCTGTTTTTTAAATATGTTAAAAATAAAATACTGACTTGTCTAAACTATGATGTAATGAAATCCGTGAGCAGAGTTTCGGGGAAGGAGAGAATGGAGGTGACCACGTCTGACTCTGTCTTGCGGTGGCCAGGAAGCTGAGGACTGACCCCCGAAAGTGGCTTGACCAAGGTCATGTGGCTAGCGAGTAGAAAAGGTGTCAGTGAAACCGCAGTACCCTGACTGAGAATCTGGATATCCTTATATCACAACATCTAGTTCTCAAATAATGATTGTGCATAATGAAAAATCAACAAGCCCAGCAAAACTTTACTTTACAGACAGGAAAGTGTTCCTCTTGTTTTTTAAATATGTTAAAAATAAAATACTGACTTGTCTAAACTATGATGTAATGAAATCCGTGAGTAGAGTTTCGGGGAAGGAGAGAATGGAGGTGACCACGTCTGACTCTGTCTTGCGGTGGCCAGGAAGCTGAGGACTGACCCCCGAAAGTGGCTTGACCAAGGTCATGTGGCTAGCGAGTAGAAAAGGTGTCAGTGAAACCGCAGTACCCTGACTGAGAATCTGGATATCCTTATATCACAACATCTAGTTCTCAAATAATGATTGTGCATAATGAAAAATCAACAAGCCCAGCAAAACTTTACTTTACAGACAGGAAAAGTGTTCCTCTTTAAAAAAAAAAAAAAAAAAGTTTACAGCTGCCACCATGGTTACTTATGCAGAAAATGAAAAATCATGATTGCAAAAAGAGAATGTCATGCACTAAACAAGGCAGCCCTCAGAATCAAAACTTTTCTTAAAAAGATTTAATATACCGTCAGCAAACACTGTAAAGGAATAACTTGCTTTGTTACTATTTTCTATAACATTTCATGTATATGTCAAGAATATCAATCCATATTTTAATCATTATATTAATTTTAAACATGTTTTTAAACAAGAAAATATAAAAGTTTGACCATTTCATAACTTTGTATTCAAATGGTATCCTAATAGAACTATCCCAGTCAGTGACTTTCAGAAGCAATTTGATAACCCTCCATCGGAATCAGTAACAGAATCTCATGGATCCAGGCATTCCTTTTTTCTATCTAACCTTAATCTCTATTGCTTCAGCCTGTTTCCAGTTCTATGTATTTTTTTCTTCAGTGGAATAAAAACAAAACAAAACAAAAAAAACCTCTATATGGACATATGGAAACATCAGTGTACATTTCTTGAGCAAATAAGCCCCATCCACTGTTTCCTCCCTTCAATTGCTTATCCCCGATCTTTTCATTGACGTATATGCTACTTTGAGCCTTCGACAAAGTCCTCCAAGCTTCTGCAGTGCAGGAGCAAACGTCTGGAGCGAGCAGAGTGAATGTGGGAGATGGTTGTCTCCTCCGCAGCGCACTTCACATGCCGCAGTGCGCACGGCGGTGTGGGCTGGGACGGCTTCCCAAGTCAAGAGCCTCCCACGGAACCGACGCCTCCCATTTCGGTTCCATGCCATTTCTCTAGAGAAGACGTGCGCCACTATGCTCTTCATTTTCCATTTCCATAAGCCAGATTGAGCTTCCTGATCATATCACCACTTAAAAGATATGCTCTTCAACGGTCCCTTCCAGTGTCACCGCACTCCACGACATCGGGTGAAGAGTAAATGCAGTAAAGCCGTGGTCTGTTAAGCCATTACATGACTGCCGGATGGCCAGTGACAGAGAGCATGCCATTTCCTGTTTTCCTCCAGAGCGTTATCATAAAAAAGGAGAATGTTTCAGCCTCTCTCCAAAACTATCTATAATGTTCGTCCTGCTACAAATACTTACGGCTCGGTTTAATCTTATTTATAGAGGATTAGGTCTGATAGGCTCACTAAGTCTAAATTCAGTCATTTAAAACTTATCTTTTGTTTTTATTTTATTTTACTTTGCTTATTCTTGGAAAATCAATGAATTGGTGCTAGTAAGATCTTCCAAAAAGAATCACTCCAGAAATCATTACAGTACATCAGAGTTGTAAATGATGTATATCTCAATCAGAGATTTCATTATCAGAATAGAGAAATAACAAGAGTCATATAGGAAGGACCAGCAGTTAGCGTAATGGCAATGTCACTGGACTCCCATGTAGCCAACCGCGGTTGGAGTCCCGGACCTGGTGGCTTAAACTCACCCCGGGCGCGTGTGCGTGCGTGCCCAAGATCCCGAGAGGAGAATGGAGGAGAAGGGATTGTGGCGTGACCATTCCCCCTGGGTGGTGATTTCTCGCTTTCTGTCGCTCTGTCTCTCTCTCCGTCTTTATGGCAAGCGCATGTACCCTATGGTAAAAACCTCTCCAAAAAAAGAAAAAAAAAAAAGAGTCATAAATGAAAGTTTAAAGGAGGAAAGACTAGCGAACCTCTCCGGATTTGAAGGCAGTGGCATGAATGTTGCGTGAGTTCCTCCCTGTGAGTGATGGGTCTCTTACGAGTGCATCTTAAACTGCCAAGTCTGCAGAGAAGCATGACTCTTGATTGACTTCCGTGTGATCCAGAAAGATATTTACTCATGTGGTTCTGTTTTGGAATGAAACTGTTAGTTATAAAGGTGTGACAATGACATGGACCTAGTATTTTAAAGAAGTTAAACAGAATAAAAGTGAAGTGTAGAATATGAGGTCAAATTTTAAAAGAGAGTATTAATTTGGATTCGCTGGGTTATGGCATAAGTGAAGTCATGGATTTGAACTGTTCATGAGTTGAGATAGATTGGTGGAAAAGGTAAATGTAGCTAGTTATAGGCGCATAAGTGTTCTTTTTTGGTATTCGATTGAAATGACACAGTGTCTTAGTGATATAATTCCAATAATGCGAAATGAAATTCAGTCCAAGCTTATTAATGGGAATAAGTTAGAAAGGAAGCGGGAAGAGATGGACCAAGTTTAGAAATCCAATACCTGTTTCTTTTCCGTCCCAGCCATGAACAAAATACCTGGCATGCCAGGAAATGTCAACACCTGCTGGTCAATTATTGCTGGTGGGATAAATGGGACAGAAAGAGGGCAGAAAGGAAAGGAGAGCCGGGGCTGAAGAGTGGGACTGCAGGGGAGGAGTTCCACTCTCTATTTTCCAGACATCCTGTAATGATAGAGTAATTATTTTTAAAGGCAAAGGAAAATAAGAAGTTGGCAAGAATCATAAGAGCCTGAGGCCAGAGGTTAACAACACTCTCATAAGATGACATTACATTTTATTAAGACCCCGGAAAGAGCATGAGCATCCGGAAATAGCTGGACCTTCAAAGTTACAGGAGGCCAGTGGGGCAGAACTTGGGTGAGAGCCGTGCGGTTTCAGCAGGGCGGAGCTCTGCAAAACCGTGGGCCGAGTCAGGGACTGGTGCCGACTGGGTCTCTGCCACTTGATGCTCTGTGGTTTCAAGCTCGCCCTATAACTGCTTCAAGTTTCTCCTTTTCATTAGGAGAGTCCAGGATATAATGAAAATATTTATACCACCCTTCATTCTGAGCATGGGATGAGATTTTGTATGTGCAGATGGTTTTGCGACCAGTATAACAAACAAAGCTTTGTTTTTAAGCCTTGTTTTAAACCATTGTTTTTAAAGCATAGATCAATTAATCACGAAAGAGAATAAAGAATTGTTGAACCTCACATTCTGGTGAGACCACTCATCTATGCTGAAATAACATGGGCATACCAGGGATAGTCCCCGTCAGGTCTCGATCAGGGACTCTGCAGCTAGGATCAGTGAGCAGCTAGAGGAGTTGGGGTCCTCACCCTCCCCACAGCCGCA